ATGGTTGGCAGGGGAAGGGGTACAGGCAGGGCAAGGCTGTGGGGTCACAGGGGCACAGGAGGTGGCGTGTGAGAGGGTGTACGGGGCATGGGATGGGGACAGGGACATGGGGCAGGGGTTTGGGGCATGGGACGGGGACAGGGACATGGGGCAGGGACACGGGTCAGGGACAGAGGGAAGAGGCATGGGGTGGGGGGACGTGTAGCAGGGACATGGGACAGGGCAGGGGACAGGAGGCAGGGACACAAAGTGAAGGGGGTGCGACATGGGACATGGTACAGAGGACACGGGCAGATTTCTCATCAGTAAGCACTTTGGCAGGCACAGGCACACTGAAAAGATTTGCCAAAGAATTTGTCAAGAAGAGACTATGGATGAGACTTCACAAGATGATTCAGCCAACGTTACAGGCTTGCTGCTTTCATGGTCCAAGCAGTTTCCTTCTGCCTGCTCTGACGCTTGCCTGAATTGGTAAGTCATTCCCCAGGAATCTTGCTCTCTTAGCACACAATAAGAGACCCCCAACACAAAGGTCACTGTCTGGTTATCAGGGACTTCTGGGAAAGGGAAGTTACTTGTTTGTGTCCCTGCTGACTGAGTAAAGTATGAATCTGCATTTCCTGTCTTCTTTGTGAATCCTCTAGCCACCAGAACATTAAATGAAAGGTAGATGTCAAAATCGCTTCCCCCATCATGCTTTTTAATTAAAAGCATTGGCACAGTTATTTATTACTGACCTCAACCCTGTTGTTATGTATTAGGTATGTTCAGAACATGTCCAGTTCTGGCATAAACTAGAAATTTACATACCTCTAGATTATTTTTTTAAAATGTGTGTATGCATGTACATCTATATATATACACAGACGTGTGTAGATCTCCATATACACATATACATGTATGCATATATGTATGCAGATGTACATGTAGGTACATATAGATGTACATATGTGTGTACATGTATATACAGATGTCTGTATATATATATGTACACACACATACATAAATAAAACTTGTAACACACAGAGTCAGTGGATAAAAAGAAACATGCAACTTTTTTCATACAAAGGTACGACAGAGCTACTGAGCCACCGAGTCCTGCATTAGCAAAACTCAGATCCTAGTGGAAGCCTTTTCTGATTAGTAAAAGCAAGCCTGGCACTTGGAAGGCAGTCAATTCTGTATCATGTTCTTGGATTTAAACACTTAGCTTTCATGAGAATCCTGCTTTAGTAATCCAAGTCTTTGTGATTTCAACTTAACTCTTAAAGGAGGTCTGGTATCTCTTTCTGTTCTCTAGAGCTGGATGCAAAATGATATATGTGATAAGTTTGAATAATGATAGGTGTGACATCTTCCTATCAGTTTTCTGCAACATCACCATGATGGCTAAGTATTAATTAAAATCCTCTAACATCCATATGGTGTTAAAAGATTATCAACCCACCTCCTTTCTTGAACTGCTCATTTCCTTTCTCCTTCAGCATTGTGCTATCCTTTCTTCTTTTCTACAAAAGAAAACGCCCCGGCAGTTTGATGAGGGACGGACAGACTTCCCCGTGGACCCGGCGCGGGGGCTGGATGGGGCTGAGCTCACCCAGCTGCTCCGCGTCCACAGGCTGGAACTGGTGATGGAGTTCACCAACGAGGTATGGCCTGGCCCTGGCCCCATCCCCGTGACAGCCGTGGCCCCCCCGGCCCTCACTCTCCTCCTCCTCCCCAGACCTCCGACCAGATCTTCGGTGCCAAGATCCCCCACCACATGCTGCTTTTCCTCAACAAGTCATCGTCAGCGCAGCTGGAGCTGCGGGATGGCTTCCGGGCAGCCGCCGGCACCTTCCGGGGCAAGGTGAGGAGGTCCCATGGCGGGCACATGGCAGGGGGTGGCCACGGGGCACCCCAGTCTCAGTGTCACCTGTCCCCTGCCCAGGTGCTCTTCGTGGTGGTGGATGTGGTTGGGTACGGTGCTGATGTCCTGTCCTTCTTCGGCCTGACACCTGCTGACGCCCCCACCATGCGCCTAGTCAAGATGGACAACAACCGCAAGTACCAGATGGACCAAGATGTCTTCTCAGACACAGCCATACGCACCTTCGTTCAGGCGGTGCTGGATGGCAAGGTGAAGGTGAGGGATGCGGCACGGTGCCAGCCAGCACCAACGATGTGGTAGAGCAGTGGGCTGTTAACTCTGAAGCCGAATGATGGCAGTCATGCAGCGAACACCAGACACCTGCTCGCTGATGTGCTGACAGGACTGAGGATTTGGGGGGGGCGGGTGTTATGGAATAGAAGGCAGAAGAACATCAGTGTGGAGACACATAGAACTGGGATGGTGGAAGAGGTTGTCCAAAAGGCAGCACAGGAGCACAGGCCCCCTGTCCCTGTCCTGCACTGTCTCCCGAGGGCCTGTGCCCCATGGGGCCCCTGGCACTGCTCAGCCTGGGCTCTGGCTGTCCCCACAGCCCCGCCTGCTGAGTGCGGAGCCCCCTGAGGACTGGGACACGCGGCCTGTTAAAGTCCTGGTGGGAAAGACCTTTGAGCAGGTGGCGTACGATGAGACCAAGAACGTCTTTGTCAAGTTCTGTAAGTGCTGGGGCTGCCCGTGGCCCTCCCCGAGCTCTGCCACGGGGCTCAGCCCCCCGCCGCGACAGCCCCCCGCCCCGCCCCCGACCCCCCGCCCAGGGGCTGC